TTAATGAAAATTGGCTGTTATTTTCAGAAATATGTGTGTTTAACATTTTTGTTATTTTGTTCCTCCAGATTCTTTTCTACGGTTATTTTGTTATTTTGTCTTAAAATTGTGATTTACCCACCAATGTGTTTTTAGATAAATGCATCTCTGGATACCTGATGCCTTTTATCTTGACCACTTACGGTTTTCCAAGTATTTTCCTTGGTAGTCTCCATTGAGATCTGTGTCTGGCACTTTGCTAAGCACTTCACTTGGATTCTCTCCTTTAATTCTTCCACTGACACCATGCTGTAGGCAGGAATTCTTATGCTCTCACTGCACATAAAGAGACTGAGGTTACACAGTCCACTGACTTACTTGCTCAGGGTCATACAGTTAATCACTAGAGAACTTGGGATGCCCGCCCACGTAATTTGATTGCTGGCCTAGAGGATATTGTATAAGCACTCTAGAACTTCGCTGTGCTGAGAAATCTTTTCTAGCTGAAAATATATGAGCCCTCCAGAGTGATTGCATGGGGACACCCTGCTTCTTTAGCTTATTAAGAGGTATTTTGTTAGGTTTTGATCTGTAGTTGGCACTCTAGGGGAACACTGGCTGAATCTAGTCCACTGTCTCCTTTTGTAAAGAGTTTTATTGGAACATGGCAACACCTATTCATTTACTTATTGCACCAGAAAACCTATGACCTGGCAAAGCCTAAAATGTTTACCATCTAGCCTTTTAAAGAAAATGTTTGCCAGTCTCTGCTCTGGACACCAGTCATTATAAAGGCATGTCATTTTTTGGTAGCTTCTGGTAGTTTTGCGTTCATTTGTTCAGGCACTCTGGTTGGTAGAATTGTTTACTCTTCGTTAGTCCCCCCCCAAACCAACCAAATAGCCCCTCCCACCTTATGCCTGAGTTTCCTTGTGATCCTTTAGAGCAACTGAGTTTCTTCAGAATCCTTTGCAGATAGTGCGACCTGTAAACGATTCCGGAACTTTTGCCTCTGTTAACCTGTGTAAGCACTGCATATCCCACACTGATCGCTGATCCTTCTGATGATGCTGTGCGCCTGGTGCCCTGTGAGGGAAAGGCTGGTGAGCGTTCGTTCTGAAGTGCAGGGAGAGGTCGTAGCCTGTGTCTGCTTGTCCAGCAGCACCCTGCAAGCTGCCAGAGAATTGTCAGAGAACTGCTCTGACATCACTGAGACTGTTGCATTCGGGGTGGAGAAATCCTGCTTGGACATAAAGTGAATGTGTTGCTATTGTACAACAGTAAACTATTCCTTTTGCTTTCTTTCGGCATTTTGCAATAAAATGGAAAATGTGAGAAGAATGAAAACACTTAATTACTGAGTTTGTTTTTATTCTTCACCCTGCAGATTTATGACTGGACAGAATTCTAGCCGGATCCTGCTGAGTGGCAGATTTGGTGAACATACTTGAAATCACATCATTTCAGTGTTTGAATTTTTTTTAAAGATTTTATTTATTTATTCATGAGAGAGACACACACACACACAGAGAGAGAGAGAGAGGCAGAGACACAGGCAGAGGGAGAAGCAGGCTCCATGCAGGGAGCCCGACATGGGACTTGATCCCAGGACTCCAGGATCACGCCCTGGGCCAAAGGCAACGCTAAACCGCTGAGCCACCCAGGGATCCCATAAGTGTTTGAATGTTGATATTTCCATTTCATAGTCTTTCAAATGGTGTGCAGCTTTTAGTGTCCCACCACGTCTGTCATGTGTTGTCCTAGTGTTATGTGAAAGGAGCCCAGGGAAGTGTGGACTTGGTCAACATCATTCACTAGTGTCTGGGTAAGAACGAAATTGTAGGGTTCTTCTCTCTGAAAATTCCTTGATGAAATCATTAGTGGACAGAGTGCATTCCTTAACTTTCCTTTTGGGAAGGCTTGATGAAGAATCTGTAGACAAAGCAAAGACTTTCAGTTGGGGCTTAGAGAATAAATTTGTTTTTTTTTTTTTTTTTTTTGTATGTTTACTCTGACCCAAAGGCTGCCTTCCTGCAATAGGCTTCTTTCAAAAATACAGTTGTCAAGTAAAGTAAGCACACTTAAATGTGTAGAGTTGGGCACTATATGTAGCAAGTTTTCTGGTGGCTTAGTGTCAAAACTGTTCTGAGTGCTGGAGCCAGTTTGGGGGTCTGGAACCCTCTCCACATGTTACTTCTGTCAAACACTTCTTAATCTCTTAGATTTTCATGGGGTAAATGTCACCTCAGAGAGGCCTTCCCTCAGTACCATGTTTAAAACATTTTGTTCCTCTTTTTCATTTTCCTCCATAGAACTTATCACTGAAAACCATTTATTTTACTGTCATATTTAAGTGTGTTACTCTCTACAATAAAGCTCTGTGAAGGTTGGGAATTTTGTCTCTATTCCTTCTATACCCTCAGTGCCTCAGTACCATGCCTGGTACATTGTACAGGCACAGCAATTAACAGCAATGGAGTCGTCTGTCTCTGATATTTGTAGAACAGGCACTAGAGGTGAAATGAGCTAGTTTCTGAATTGAGGTCATTCAGGAGATCCTGAAAAGCACATATTTGGGCATCAGATGGGGTTTGATTCTGGGCTCTCCTACTTCTTAAAGTTGGTAATAAGTAACTTAGTCATTGAAAGACTTGATTTTTTTTTTCACCAGTGAAATGGGGAAAATGTCTTTGTACAGGGATTAAAGATAATGTTGAACATAAAGTTCTGTAAATATTAGGCCTGTCTTTTCTCTTGTGTGTCAGTGTTGAAGAAGCTGAAGCAATCTGAATTTACCAATCTGTTGCTTCTGGGGTCATTGCCTTGATGACTTCTGACAGCTTTATTCTTTCAACAGCCTCTGTTGCCAGCATAACAATGACCTGTCCCTTTGACCAGTGTGGGAGGACAGACACTTTGTCATTCCTCTTTAATCCTCATATCAGAACAACTTGTATGGGTTCTGGCTTTGATATATGTTTAGGCGAGTTCATAATACCAAACAGTTGAGATGCATCAGCCCTTCCTGAGGGCCATGTGAGTTCAACCAGCCCTTTTATCCAAACGCAGCGGCAGCTGCTCAAATAGGTTGATGTCTGTGGTCTTTGCAAACTAAGTTGTCATAAGTTTCTTGGCAGATGAAGAAACATCAGAGGGCCAATAAGTCACTAGTGTGTCTCCCTAGATTTCTCCACTTGTTATGGGTTACTGAAATGTTAATTCCTGTTTTAGTTTCCACGGATACTTCTTGAGGGGAACACTTCAGAAGTTAAGGCAAATTGGTTTATAAAGTTATAGGTTCTTTTAGTCCTTTGTCCCAGGCAAGTCTGGACATGATCTGGAAAGCTGATTAAAAGGCTAGTGAGCACAGTGAGCTTAATTTTAAATTAAATGGATATTTAATGCATTGAGAAAAGTACTCAAGCACTTTGTTTTTTCTTTTCCATCCATGCTTTCTATTTGAATTTGATGGACTGGAGATCTCCCTTATTTTTCTACTAAATGAGTTATTGGTACATTTCTCAAGTTTGGTTTTCACTGTGGATTTTTGGAGGTGATTTTAGCACCTAAGGGTACAAAAATCATTCCATGAAAACAGGAAGGAAAGTGCCAAGAAGCCAGGAGGTGTCTCAGTGCGGGGAGTGGGCCAGAGAATGAACAGGGGTGGATGTGGAGGTGGTCTGCCAATGTGGCCGAGCCCCCAGGCTGTTGGCAAAACATGCTGAAAAGCCTGTGGCCTGCAAGTGGTTGGGGGATGACTGGGTTTAGGAGCCCGATTATAGCTTTGGTTTTTGTTTTTTTTTTTCCCCTAAGTGTGTGTTAACTGCTTTTTGGGTGAGCCTTGATCTTGGACATACACATACCACAGCCTGACCAAACTGGCAGATCTGGGAGGATTTCAGTGTCGGGAGGATTCTGTTACTTAGATTACACATGGTTGCTGAGGCATTCATTGCTCTTTATTCTAAACATTTAGCCATTGATAAGCTGCTGTTAGTGCTATTTGGATTTCAATTTACTGTTAGGTTTTTGTAATCTGGTAGAACACAAAGAATGTGATTTTATCTATTTTTTGCATGTGCGAATGACATTTCTGTACTGTTGTTTATACTACTGGTTAGTTACTGTGTGCCTTAATTTAATCCATTTAACTTATTATGAGTAAGAAACTTTCTTAGATCAAATTATAATCACGTCCTTTGGGGTCTACCTCTCTGACTCCTACGAGGACAAAATCAGCTTATACTCAAATTCAGGGTGTTTGGAAAAGGGCCTACCATCCTGAAGTCCACAGTTCTGGGCCATGGTATTTTAACTTGAAGCTCCTGGTCAAATCTCCAAGTTAAACCTTGAGAGCATGCTGTTTTTGATATTCAGGAGGGTATTAGACAATCCTACGAGTCTTCTCTAAAGTTCTTCCTAAGATTTTTGCGAGCATTCATTTAATGAAGATAACAGTTGGGAACCGAGCTATTAATTTTGAGCGGGGGTGGGAGGGGGTAACAGCGTGTATATGGTGGAGGCCAGCCGTATCTTCCCTTCTTTGCAGGGTATCCTCCCTTCTCTGTGGGCAGACAGGAAGAGTGTGCTCTGGCCCACTGTACCCTTGTCCCCAACTCCCTGGTGAGGCTGGAGGAGGCCCTGGCCATGCAGCACTTCTTGAATTTGGGCAATTATGTAAAAGTATAACTGAATGTACACTGGTTTTACTTTGGTAAGTGCATTTAATACCCTGTTGGTTGTTGAAAATTCTCCTAGGACAGTGGAGCCTTTTGTGTTTATTTTTCAATCAGAAAGTCTTTCTCCCCAGTCGAAAGGATTGAAGTGAGGCTATAAGAAGTTTTGCAGTCCTTGACCTTCTAGCCTTCCCTAACCTCTAAGGAAAGCCAGGCATCCAACAACCTCAGACTTCTGATTGTGTTCATATGGCCATACGTGACATAGAGCATTTGCAGCTTTTATATTTTTTTGGTGATAGCTTTTAATTTCATTCTCACTTATTTCTTCCTTTTCTGTTTCAGTGTCCTGGGTCATGAAACTTAATCCACAGCAGGCTCCATTATATGTGAGTAAATCATGAGATTTCTTATTTCATACTCATCTCTGCCTTTTATTTGTTATGAGGAAACTCAGAAATGCTCTCATGTGCTTATCACAGGAATTTTTAACCATCTACATGAGTAGTGTACTTCAGAAATTGAATTTGATTTGGCAAATGCTAAATGACTCCTGCATGGCTGGCACTGAGCTGGGAACAACGAATAGCTGTAAGATGTGTGAGGTAAACTTGTCAGGTGGCAAGCGGCACATCAAACAGTTGCACGGTCCTACAGAACGATGCCTATGCCAATGCCTATGCCATGGCTGCTTCTTTTCACTGTCAGCACATTTACAGAAACGTGCTGTGGAGATCTTCCTGCTGCCATTGGGAGTTACCCTGTGTTGCAACTAGGTGGCACTCTGTCATTGGTGAGAGTGCTGTTTACATTAGGGCTCGGGTGGAAGCTGATAAATCATCTCCCGAAAGTGAGGCAACTATCAGATGAAGTGGATAAGTCAATGAATCAAGGCTGGAAAAGGTAAAGTGTAGGTGATTCTTTTTTTCTTTTTAATTACCAAGAGAGTGCATTAGCTGCATGAGGGTGGTGAAAAATGGTGAGGGGTCCCCTCAGGGGTGTGGATAGATAGAGCTGCCAGAGGCCAGCGGATATTGGATTGGTGTGGTCTGGAGAGAGTGAGGAAAATGTCATTGATGGGACAGTATGTTGGAGATGAAGAAGCATTTGGTTGGATGAAAAGTCCCCAGAATTTGTTCAAGACCTAAGACAGATAGTCGAGGGGATGAGTGACTGTGAGCATGGTATTTGATGCACGGTGGAAGGGTGGGCACTGGAAATGGCCCAGCTGCATTTGTGTTGAGGAGTAATGAGAGAGAAGTCTATAAAGGGTATCAGAGGTTAGCTGTGAAGGCAAAGATGTGAGAGCTCCTGAGGTACCTTCAGTGGGGTTATTTTAAATCTGTCAGTTTTATGCACTTCTTTATTTTAAGCCATATGATGTTAGTAATAGTCCTGTACCTGTCTAGCATACAACATTCATGCGATCACTTTTCTACACAGATGATTTTTATGTTAAATGTAACCCATAAAGAAAATATATGCATTCTTAGAAGGCATTTTATGTATTTCTTTCCAGACTACTTAGAGAGAATGTATTATGTTCAACAGTGGGTTTGCACATGAACTGAACACCTTGGACTTTTAAAAACAGCTCTTATTGAGATATAATTCACACACCATAAAACTCACACATTTAAAGTCTGCGATTCAGTGGTTTTTAGTGTATTCACAGTTGTGTAATCATAACTGTCATCTAACTTGAGAAGATTTTCTCATCCCGAAAAGAAACTACTTACCTCTTAGTAATTACTCACCATTCCCTGCCTTTTCCCAGCCCCTGGCAACCACTTACCCACTTTCTGTCTTTATGGAGTTACTTATTCCGCAAATTTCATGTAAATGGAATCATACAACACGTGGATTTTTGTGACTGGCTTCTTTTCCATAGTGGAACATCTTTAATTAAGGTACATGTTAAAGCAACTTTGTTCCTTTTTATTGATGGGTAATACTCTGTGGTATGGCTGTGCTACATTTTATTTCTCTGTTCATTAGTTGATGGCCATTTGGCCTATTTCCACTTTATGGATATTACGGATGATGTCGCTATGAGCAGCAGTTTTTGATAGACTTTGTATTTTCATTTTTCTTGTGATTGGACTTAAGAGTACAATTGCCTGCTTACATGATGACTCTCTGTTTAACATTTTGAGGAGTTGCCACGGTTTCCTCAGTTGCTGTACTGTTTTATGTTCTCATCACCAATGTTGAGGATCTGTGTCTCCAAATTCTTACCAGCACTTGATGTTACCTGACTTCTGGATTGTTGCCATCCTGGTGGGTGTGAAATGATAACTCATTGTGGGTTTTTTTTTTTTTTATTAAACATTTTATTTTTACTTAGAGAGAGAGCAGAAGCGGGGTGAGGGGCAGAGGGAGAAGCAGACTCCCTGCAGAGCAGGGAGCCTGACATGGGACTCAATCTCAGGATCCTAGGATCCTGACCTGAAACAAAGGCAAATGCTTAACCAACTGAGCCACTCAGGCTCCTGCTTATTGTGGTTTTGTTTTGCATTTCTCTAGTGGCTAATGATTGTGAGCATCTTTTTAGATCCTTTTGCCCATTTATATGTCTTTGAAGAAATGTTTATTTGGATTCCTTGCTTATTTTTAATTTTCTTTATTGTTGAATTTTAAGTGTTCTTTATATATTCTGGATTCAAGTCCCTTATCAGATAGATGGCTTGCAAAAACTGTTGCCCACCATAAGGATTATCATTTCATTTTGTTGATGGTACCCTTTGAAGCTCAAAAGTTTTTAATTTTGATGATGTCCAAATTACCTGTTACTTCTCTTACTACTTGTCCTTTTGGTATCATATCTACAAAAGACTTTGCCTAACTCAGGGTCACAAAAAAATTTAACCTCCTATGTTTCCTTTTAGGAATTTTATAGTTTAAGCCCTTACATTTAAGTGTATGGTTCTGGAATACATTTTTTTGTATGCTCTAATGGAGGGTTCCATCTTCATTTTTTCATATATGGACATCTCGGTGTCCTTGCACCATTTGTTGAGAAGACTTCTTTCTACATTGAATTTTCTTGGGCACGCTTGTTGAAAATTTATCATAAATATAAAGAATTACTTCTGGACTGTTAAGTCTCTTCCTTTCCAGTATGTCATCTTTAATTTCTTTAGCAATGATTTACAGTTTTCAGTGTATACAAACCTTGTACTTTATTTTAATTCTTCTTGATGCTATTGCAAATTACAGTTTTCTTAATTTCATTTTCAGATTGTTCGTTAGTGTATAGAAATAGTTGATTTTTTTTTAAAGATTTTATTTATTCATAGAGATGCAGAGAGAGAGAGAGAGAGAGAAGCAGAGACAAAGGCAGAGGGAGAAGCAGGCTCCACGCAGAGAGCCTGACGTGGGACTTGATCCAGGGTCTCCAGGATCACGCCCCGGGCAGCAGGCGGCGCTAAACCGCTGCGCCACCGGGGCTGCCCACAGTTGATTTTTATATATTGATCTTACAACCTCAGCCTTGCTGAACTTGTTTTATTGGTTAAAAGTTATTTATTTATTTATTTTTAAGATTTTATTTATTTGAGAAAGAGTGAGTGAGAGAGAAGGAGCCAGGGGAGGAGCAGATGGAGAGGGAGAAGCAGACTCTCTGGACTCCAGGATCAGGACCTGAGCTGAAGGCAGACACTTAACCAACTGAGCCACCCAGGTGCCCCGGTTAATAGTTTTTTAATGGATCCCTTAGATTTTCCTGTATACAGATCATAATCCTCCGAAAATACAGATAGCTTTCTTGCTTTCCTATCTAGAATGCCTTTTCTTTTTCTTTCCTGATTGCCTGAGTAGAACTTCCAGCATAGTGTTGAGTAAAACTGATGAGAGCAGATATCCTGGCCTTGTTTCTGATGTTAAAGGGAGAGTACTGGGTCTTTCACCATTAGGATTAGGTATGATGTTGTTAGCTATGAGTTTTTCATAGATGCATTTATCAGGTTGAAGAAGTTCCCTTCTGTTCCTAGTTTGAATATTTTTATCATGAAAGAGCATTGGATTTTGTCAAAGTTTTTTTTTTTTCATCTGTGAGATGATCATATGGCTTTTTTTTTCCTTTTATTTATTTTTTTTAAAGATTATTTATTTATTCATGAGAGACACAGAGAGAGAGAGAGAGAGAGGTAGAAACACAGGCAGAGGGAGAAGCAGGCTCCATGCAGGGAGCCTGACACAGGACTCAATCCTGGGTCTCCAGGATCACGCCATGGGCAGAAGTTGGCACTAAACCGGTGAGCCACCCAGGCTGCCCTTTTTCCTTTCTTTTCATTGGTATAGTTTATTAGGTTGATTGGTTTTGAATGTTAAATCAACCTTGCATTCTTGGAATAAATCCTATTTTGTCATATATAATCCTTCTCATATGTTGCTGAATTTGGTTTGCTATATATAGTTTTATGTCTATACATAAAAGATAGAGTCTAGTTTTCTTCTGATGTCCTTGTCTGGCAGCATATGATTCCCAGATATGTCCATGACTTAATCTCCAGAACCTGTGACTATTTCTCTTACTTGGCAAAAGGGACTTCACAGATTTGATTAAGGGTCCTGAGATGCGAGCTTCTCTTGAATTATCTAGGTAGCCCAGTCTAATCACAAGGGTTCTTAAAAGTGAGAGAGGAGAATCACAAGTCAGATTTGTAGATGCTACACTGCTAGATTTGAGGAAGGAAGGGGCCATGAGCCAAGGAGTGCAGCCTCTGGAAACTGGAAAAAGCTAGGAAAGTTTTTCCTTAGAGCCTCTCAGGGTACCCAGCCCTACAGACAGACATCTTTATTTTAGCACAATGAAAGTTGTTTCAGACATTTGACCTCCAGAACTGTAAGATGAGAAATTAGTGTCAGTTTAAGCCTCTGAGTTTGAGATGATTTGTTGTAACAGCAGTAGGAAATGAATATAGTCGTAGTTTGGAAAAATTAATTGATGGCAGCATGAAGGATAATTTAGGGGAGAGTAGAGGCAGAGAGACCAGTTTGAAGTTTTCTGATTTTGCCATCATGGCATCTGAGAACTCCAGAGTTAATGAGGACCGTGGGCGTTATGTGCCTCTCTGTTGTGGAGTGGGGACACAAGTTCTGAAGATGATGTGATGAGGTGGTACAGCTAATCCATGAAAAAAATTACGATTTAATTATGTGCCTCTCTGTTGTGGAGTGGGGACACAAGTTCTGAAGATGATGTGATGAGGTGGTACAGCTAATCCATGAAAAAAATTACGATTTAAATCTGTATTTTTGGGCTTAGTCATAGAAACTGCTGTAAAGCGTGTTAAGCATAAAAAAAGCTTCATTCTGTTAGGGAAGCAAGGCTCTTTAGAAATGAGTTCTAAGAAATATTCTTAATAAAGGAAGTTCTTCTAATTGG